TTTTTGATATTGCTTAATTGTCTATGGTATCTTTTAACAAAATATAGTTTGCCTAATTGTCTTTTTTAACTAGGTCTATTTTTTGCTTTTGCTTTGTTTGATTCCTACTCCTGATTTTTCACTTCAGTTGAAGATTTTACTCCAGCCCTTTATTTTAACTGTGTGCCTTTCTGTTTCAACTGTCTCTTGTAAACAATATATAGGTAGATTCTGATTTCCATCCATTCTTCTATCTGCTTCCATTTCATGGGTGAGCTCATCCCATTCACACTTATGATTACTAACTGTACATTTCCCTCTATCCTATTTCTCTGTGTTTTCTCTCTCTCTCTCTCTCTCTCCTGTCTCAAAAGTTTGTTTTGCTTTTGACCACTGACCTGCCTTAATCAGCACTTCTTTTTTTTAAATCATCCCCACGCTCTCATATCTCTTATCCCTTCTTATACCCCTATTGGGTAAGACAGATTTCTATACCCAACTAAGTACGTATGTGTATGTATACATATATGTGGATATATGTATAGATATATGTATAGTATATATTTTTTCTTTTCTCTTTGAACCAATTTTAATGAAAGTAAGGCTGAGGTATTACTTGCCCCCCCCATTTCCCCCTTCATTATAAAAACTCTTCTTTACCAGCCTCTTTATGTGAGAAAAATTTTCCCCATTCTACTCACTTCTCCCTTTTCCCAGTACATCCCTCTTTCTCACCTTATTATATATTTGGAGATCATCCCAATATTATTCACTCACACTCATGTCCTCTGTCTATGAAATTCCTTCTAACTGTCCTACTAATGATAAAGTTCTTAGGAGTTACATGTATCATCTTCCTATATAGGAATTTAAACACTTTAACTTTATTAAGTCTCTTATAATTATTCTTTCATGTTTACCTTTCTAATGTTTCTCTTGAGTCTTGTGTTTGAATGTCAGATTTTCTATTCAGTTCTGGTCTTTTCATCACGAGTACCTGAAAGTCCTTTATTCCATTAAATGCCGATTTCTCCCTCTGAAGGATTAAACCCAGTTTTGCTGGTTAGGTTATCCTTGGTTGCAATCCTGGTTCCTCTGCCTTCCAGAACATCATATTCTATGCTCTATGCTCCTTTAACATGGAAGCTACTGATTCTTATGTGGCTTATTTCTGGCAAATATTTTTGACAAATAGGTAGCATCCCTTTTCCTAACATGTCTGTGTTAACTCTGCTTTGGCCTTCTTCTCTATCCTGGACTTGTCTCAGCTATTTTATGTAGAAAACCTTATTGTTTAAATATTATGTTAACACTGCTTTTTACTATTCACTGAGTTAGAGCCAGAGGACCCTGAGCTGATTTTTTTCCCCCGCTTGGTTCTCCCAGTAGCTAGTTTCTTCTCTATGTTGACTTTCTATATATATAAAACCTCCTCCTTCCTTGCAACAGCCTGAAGCAACCTTCCTTTGCCTCTAATGCTCACAAAGTGTCACAGCTGGAAGGGACCTCAAGGGTCAGCCAGTCAAAGCCCTACTGAACCCCTTTTGTTTTACAAATGAGGGAACTGATTTGCCCAAGGTCACCCAATGAGCTTGTGCCAAGACCCAGGATTAGAACTAAGGCCAGTCTGCAGACTCTGAGTCCCAAGGTTTTTTCTGTTACTTAAGCTATTGTAAAAAATAGAATCCTCTGACCATTTGATCATACCTTTAAATCTAGAAGGGACCTCAGAAGCCATTTGGCCTAATAGGAAAATGAGACCTGTAGAGTTACCCCAAGGACATGCAGGTAGTAAGTAGCAAGAGTGGGGTTCCAACCAAGGTCCACTGATTCCTAACACAGTGTTCTTCCCACTGCATGACACTGCCTCCTGTTACTCTGTCTCCATGGTTTCAAATTAATCAATTCCCCAGGCCATTGTTGTGTGAATGATTCAGTAGGCCTCAACATCCTGTCCTTCAGATGATTCTTTATCAAAACCCTCATAGATTAAATTCAGTTAAAACAGTGAACACACTTCTTGTTCAGCCATTTTCAATTGCATCCAATTCTCAATGCCCCTATTTGGGGTTTTCTTGGCACAGATACTGGAGTGGTTTGCCACTTACTTTTCCATTATTTTACAGATAAGGAAATTAAGGCAAACAGGGTTAAGCAACTTGCCCAGGGTCACCCAGCTAGGAAGCATCTGAAGTTGGATTTAAACTCAGGAAGATGAGTCTTCCTAACTTCAGGCGTGGTGCTCTACCAGTGGTTTCCTTATGGTCAGATGGCTAGAGGTAAAATTTGAACTCAGGCTGCCAGCCGCTACTTTCTATATTACACATTGCCTCTCAAACCCCAATGGCCTGGCCATTGTTACTCTATCAGCCTGGCCTTAGAGTCCCATCTCAAACTGCTTTATATAAGAGAAATGAAATAAAATAAGTCATATTGAAGCCTTGAATCAATCAATAAGCATTTATTAAGTGCTTACTATATGCCAGGTACTGTATTAAGCTCTGGGGATACAAAGAGAGGCAAAAACATGGTCCTTGCTATGAATGATGTTTAAATGATTGGGCCTATCTGAGGATCAAGCTTAAGTTGATTTTAATGCTTGGTAGTAGTGCAGGAAAAAGAATAATGCAATTAGAGTTAGATAACTTGGATTCAAATATTTTAGTGGCTCTGCTTGTATAACTGTGGGTAAACTTTTTATCCCATTTGGGCCTCAGTTTCCTTCCTTGTAAAATTAAGAGGGTGAAGGAGATGGTATCCAAATTCTCTTCCAGTTCCAATTTAATGAGGGTTCTAGAAATCATCCATTAGGGTATAGGTTATATGCAGACCCTGTAAATAGACAATGGACTTGACCCAGATTTGACCCAAGAGAGGAGAACCCACTGGATTGCTTTTGCAACATTCTGAAGTTCTTGTAATGATCTTCAACTTCTCCAAATAAAGGTCCGTTATAAAAAAAACCCACCAATATATTTGGGTTATTGTATAACTGAAAGTATCAGAACAGCATTGTCTCTGAAGAATTGAAGTTGAAGATCATCCAGCGGAGAAGACAGACCAACATGGCAGTCGTGAGGCAGGTTGTAACACATTACAAGTAAGGAATACATAGGACAAATGTGTAAAGTATTGTGCCAAAGAATCACAGAATTGGAAAGTGGGAAGGAACCTCCGGGGCCTTTCTTATTTAACATATATGTGAAAGGAATCTCTGCTATAATAGATTGGCCTAGTGGTTTTTTAGCCTCTGCTTGAAGACTTCTAAGGGAGGAGAAGCCACCACCTTTTAAGGATGCCCATTCTACTCTTGGATAGCTCTCATTAGAACATTTTTTCAAATATTGTGCCTCAACTGGTCTCTGCAACATCCATCCATTGTTTCTGGTTCTGCCCTCTGGGACCAAAAAGAACAAGTCTAATCCTTCCTCCATATGATTGACAGCCTTCATCTACTTGAAGGCAGATGCTGTGTCTCTTCGATCCTTCTCTTCTTAAGACTAAACTTCATCTGTTTCTTCAGCTGATTCTCATATGACCTGGATTCAAGGACCTTCACCACCCTGGTTGCCCTCCATTGGATTTTCTCTGGTTGGCCAATGTCCTTCTTGAACCATGGCTCCCAGAGCTGAACCCAACACTTCAGATGAGGTCCATTGAGAGCAGAGTGTACAGTGGAACTATCCCCACTCTGTTCCTTGGAAGCTATACCCTTCTTTTAATGCAGCTTAAGATTGCATTAGCTCTTTTGGGCTACCACATTACACAACTTATGTTGAACTTTCAGTCCACTTACATCTTTATCAGAACATATCCAATGTTACCTCTCCCATCTTATACTCATGAAGTTGATTTTTTTTTTGTATCTAAGTGTACCCAAGATTTTATGCTTACCTCTACTGAATATCGCCTTTAGATCTAGGCCAGTGCTCTAGCCTGGATCCTGGATCGTGATTGTGCCCTCCAGCACATTAGTTAGGTCCCCCACCCTACTTTTTTTGCCATTTGCAAATTTGATGAGCATGTCATCTATGCCTTTATCCAAGTTATTAGTAAAAACAGCACAGGGCCAGATCTCTCAGGGGCATCTTCTGGAGATCTTCTCCTAGGTTGACTTCGAACTATTGCCTTTGAGTCCACATATCCAGCCAATTCAAAGTTCATCTCATTTTATAATACTTTAAATGAAATGTATGCCTTCCCCAAAAGAAGTTGGGCTGTTCAGGTTGTGAGAATGAGAAATAACTGAGGCACAGCTACTATGCTCCATTTGTAACCTATTTATACTAAGAGAATGAAAGGAATTCTCCTAGCACACTGAACAGATATTCTGTGTTGAACTTAGAGTGGTCATGGAGAAGAGTCATACAGATGGGCAAGCATGGATAAGTTTTGATAGGTACCATTGGAGAGAATACCTATATTGATGGAGCCTCAGGGTATGATGCTATGTAGTCTCAAGAAAAATCCTACCTTCTATGAGAAGCCTTTCTTAATCTCCCTTAACGCTAGTCCCCACCCCCACGTTTATTACCTCCAATTAATCTTACAGGTAACCTACTCCATTTACCTCCTTGAGCAGGGACTGTTTTTTACCTTTCTTTGTATCCTGAGAACTTAGCACAGTTCTGGGCAAGATGATTAATCACTGCTTGTTGAATGACTAATTTAAAACTATAGATCAATCAATTGATCTGATGCACATTCACTTCCAGTAAAGTCTCCTTATCCTGTCGTAGAGGGGAACCTGGGGTCTTAGGCTCTGCTCAGTAGGGTACAAGTTCCAGCAGGTCCTACTTAAGATGGAAATGCTGTGGGTGTGACCTTGGTCTTTAAACAGCACTATTTTAGGAACAGGATAATTCAGAGGGCAGAGACTCATTACCAGAATAAACTCCCCACTCCCACCCCTCATTCCCGGAACTTAGCTCAGATAATACCTCCTACACAAAGCTTTTCCTAGTTCCCCAGCTTGTGAGGGATCCTCTCCTTCCTGCAGTATAGTATAGTGGATACAAAACTTAACACAAGTCAAGTAGATCCATATTCAGATCCCATCTCTTACATGGATTGGACCATGTTGGACCATGGCCAGCTAGCTTCTCCGTACCTCAGACAGCTCTGTAATACTGATCTAATAGGCTGTCCAGGATGGATTGTCATTTGCAACAGTGCTCTATGGATCCATAATACTTTGCACACCAGATACTAGTTAATAAATGTTTGTTGAATTAAATTGTTGGAGTTTGACTATCAGGGGAATATTTTTTTTTTTGGTCACAGGGAATCACAGATCCACCTAGTAAGGTGGAAAGGATTTCATCTGCATTGGTGGAAACAGTGGCTATGTGGATGAAATTATGTATCTTTGAAAGCTAGAAATGTAAGTACATATTTTTCTTTACTTCCTTTTCTTTACTTCTTCCCAGGCTAATGTAAAGGACCTACACCAATATTTTCATTTTGTGAGTGACAAAGTTCATTCTCCTCAACCTGAGTCACCTGAAATGCCTTCATTCTTTTCTGTTCATCTAAATCCTTTCTTTTCCTGGAAGACCCAACTCAAAGCTCATTTCCCATAAGAAGTCTTCCTTAACTAATACCTTCTCAAACTAAATTTCCATTTTCCCAGCACTTCTGCTTGTATAGAGTGTTTATATGGCCCCAGTAGGCCTGTTGCTATGTAATTATCCTCGAGATATTTTAGGTAGATATGTGTATCTTAATATCATAATCAGATTTTTAAAATGTTCATATTTTTGTTATTAAGATTAATTGCAAAATAAATTTCTAGTGCCTTTTGATTTTATATTGCAGTAATTTCTGAATACATCCCTCCAAATTGAACCCTCCCTTGTCTGTGATAAAGAAAAATTGGTAAGTAAAAACAAGCAATATAGTATGACCTCATCATATAATAAATCCAACATTCCATCCTTGTGGTCACGTGTCTTTCTAAGAGAGGATCTATTACTAGTTTTTTAGTTACTCAGAATTAATCTCCTTTTACTGATCTTTTCACTTACAGCTATAGTTTTAACCACTAGGTAGTGTTGCTAGCCATTGGCCTGATTCTATTTGCCAGAAAAGACCTGGCTCTGAGAAGTCCCAGTTTGGCTGTTATATGTTCCACCCCATAAAGGTGCCAAGCTCTATGTCATTCTCAGATTTGATGACTTATGATCTTCTGGCTCTGTGTCTCTTGGTAGCTGAACTATCTAAACAATGTGGTTAGTGTAGATTTACTGATTCTAAATTGCTCTGAGCCCCTACCTGTTCCTTCTCCCTGAATACACTGTGTTTCAACGAGCTCTATTCTCATGACTTTGGCGTAATAAAGCTACTCCCTTCCCATGTGAATAGTTATAATTCTTATATTGTTCTACTCTTTTTTTTTTGCATAAAATCAGCCGATGTTCAACTCATGATATCCAGGACAGTTTAATATTTAGAAGATCTCAGGAACTTTGGGTAGAGGTTTCAGCTCCTTCTATTGCCATGAGACAAGGACTTAGGGAATTTCCTGGTGTGGCCAAAGGCTCTGGAATTGTACTTTTCTGTTTGCTGGGAAGAATAACTAGTTATTTTTTTGAAGGCTATCTCATTTCTCATGAAGCCGGAGGAATGGACTCAAAGGGAGAACCTGGCAAGGAGATCGTTTCATGATTGATGTCAACCACAGGCACAAAGATATGGTCATCAGACACAGATTTCTCTCCAGTTACATGGTCATTTATATTTTTCTTCTTGTTATGCTTATTTCACCATGCATCAATTCATACAGATGTTCACCTTTTCTCTGAAATTCTCATATTCACCATTTCTAACTGACCAATAATATTCCATTATATTAACATGTCAGTTTGTTCAGTCATTCTCAAGTCAATAGGCAACTTGCTTTTCCCCCCCAAGTACTTAGTTCTCACAAAAGTATAGCTCCAAATATATTGTTTTCTGTTGAACTCTTCTTTCTGTTTTTTTGTTTTTTAGCCTCTTTGGGGCATATACTCAATAGTGAGATTACGAGGTCAAAGGATATGAATAATTTAGTCACTCCAAATTTTCCTCTAGAATGGAAATTCGCAGTTCTACCAATAATGTATTAGTGTTCATATCATCTTATAAAAGACTCCAGCATGAATCATTTCCAATTTTTTGTTATCTTTGCCAATATGAGGAATGTTAGGTGAAATATTAGAATTGTTTTAATTTGCATCTCTCTCTCTCTTTTAGAGATTAGGAGCATTTTTTAAAAAATAAGACCATCAATAGTTTGCAGTCCTTCCTTTGAAAACTTTTCATAACTTTTGATCACATATATGGTGAATGGCACCCTAATTTGATGCTAATACTTTCTTAAAGAGAGGTACTACGTCTTTGACTTTCTACATTCCCATAATGGGGAAAGCATTGCACTGTACCTAGTAGGTTCTAAAATCTAGTTTTAATTGACTGACTCAATACATGAAGAAACCTAAGAAATTATGTGCCCAAATGACTTTCAAAGGATTGCCTGATGTATTAATTTCAGGTAAAGCCTTGAGCTTTCTGTCTCGAGATGAACAAAAATTATAAGGTATTTTTTGTGATAAAGATATGCAAATGTTAAATATTGGATAGGGTGAAAAAAAAGTAGCAAAAGCAGATAGGAAGTTGCAAAGAAAATAATTCAAGGAGAAATCCATTCAGCGAGGTCTGGTCTAACAACTGAAAACTCTGTGCTATTTTTGGAATAAGGATTCTTTTCCATCATAAACACTGTGATTATTTAAACCTGCTGTGATTTTTTTGGCGTTTTTTGCTTTTGTGACAACTGCTTTTGACAATTTTGTTTTCTTTTAAAGCGATTATTTTGTAATGCTATTTTGGGGAAGCTATAGGAGCAGGGAGTGGTATACCCTTAGTATACCCTACTAAGTATGTAATAATGATATCCAAATCTGGCCTCAGGCACTTACTAGCTATATGACCCTGGGCAAGTCACTTAACTTCTGCCTCAGTTTCATCATATGTAGAATGAGGATAATAATAGCATCTACCTTCCAGGTTTATGATGAGGATTAAATTAAAATAATTATTATAGAGGATTTAGCACAATATCCAGCACATAATAAATGCTATATAAATGTTAGCTTTTATTTATTGTTATTGTTATTATTATTATTAATGCATATGTATGTATACATGTATATATGCACCAACAGTATACTTATGAAATTTAATGTTCATTAAAATGCAGTAAAACCATACACTTTATTGAATCCTTGAAAGATAACAGTGACATCTATTTTATTAATTTGAATTTAATTGCTGTTCATGTTTTCTTTATTTATAATTTGGGCAATGAGATGACTCAGTAGATAGATCACTAGCCCTAAAGTCAAGAAGGGCCAAGTTCAAATTTTGCCTCAAAATTCCTAAAAAAAAATTAAATTAAAATTAAAAAAAAGTGACCCTGGGCAAGTCATTCAATCTCTGTTTGTCTCAGTTTCCTCAACTGTAAAATGAAGATAATAATAGTGCCTACTTCACAGGGCTGTTGTGAAGATCACATTATATATTTGTGAAGCATTTAGCACTGTTCCTGGCTCAGAATGGGTTTTTAATAAATGTTTGCTTCCTTCTTTCATTTCCTACTTGTAGTCTATATACAGATTTTAAAAAAAACCTAGATAAATGTCTGTATTGTCCTTTTAGAACTACTTTCTTCATTCTGCAACATTTTGCAGCGTCCTCATGTGTCTTTGAACTCATCATGTTCATCTTTCCTTACGACAAAATGATACAACATTAGATATAAAGACCACCCTTTATTCAATTAGCCTTTCATTATTGGGAACATAGTTTGTCCCCTCTAGCTTTCTGCTTTAACAAATAATGCATCTTTGAATATTTTTGTTTAGATTTTTTTTTATATGTCTATAACCTCCTTAGGGTTTGTATCCTATAGTAGAATGAGGGTCAAAGGCCATGAGCGATTTTGTTATCTTTATCGAATAGTTCCATATTTATTTCCAGAACTATTAGAACAATTTACAATCCTACCAGTGGGTCTGTTTTCCCACTGCCCCAACCACATTGGGTTTTTCCCATCCTTTATCATCCTCATTAGTTTGAAGGATGTAAGGTGATACTTTAGAGTTTATAGGCTCAGAGTTCAAGAGTTGATAGGTACCTCTACTATTTCGCAGATGAGGACCAGTGAGATTCTGTGACTTGCTTGAAGTTACACAGGGAGTGATTCTGTATTTCTCCATCGATTAGATGTTTTGCACACTTTTTCAGAAGGCTGTTGATAGATGATGTTTCTTTTACAAACTGTGTTCATATTCTTTGTTAACAGGCTACTTATTGGACATGCTCAAGCCATGACTGTGGTTCTAAGTGCTATATTTGAATAACAAATCTGCCCCAAGTGGATACATGAGAGTAGTGGAAAGGACCCCACAAAGTTGGCCGTTGGACTTTTCTGAAGATACCAATATTTCTCCTCACTTAAAAGGGACAACTTAAAACTGTTAGATAGTAGGCCAGACTTTTTTTTACCATTTGGTTACCATGAAGACATATTCCATATATTTATAATTCTGGAACTGGTCTTACTTAGGAATGAAAACAGTATTAAAAGAAATTAGCCTCAGAAAAATTACACAAGATTAGTTTTATGATACCCGAACAAAATTTGTCAGAACAAAATTTATAGTAGGTTCCTGCAGGCATCCTTTAAGAGGAAGTCTCACCACTCCATAATGATCTTTTCTACAACTAACTTGTTCGTGGAGAGGACTAACACATTTTTTGCAAAGCCAGATGAATTGACATAGAAATGGATATACTAGAATAAATGAGAGCAGTCTACCCCTCCCTACCATGGAGTCAAGTCAAGTTACCAAGCATTTTTAAAGTGCTTACTTTATATTGTGCTAATTGCCTGGAATGACACTGATGTCTATGTATTCTGCAGTTTGAAAAATTCATATGTTGGTGGGTAGTTCACATCCCTCATTTCAATGAACCAATGTAAGAGTTTGAAGAAGTTTTCAATGTGTTAGTAAGATGGTCTACGCTGTGTTCTCTTTCTGAGGTATAAACTTCTTTGATTGGGTCAAGGTGAGAACAGCTGATCGTATTGAACCCAACAAGCAAGCCACATTTCTGGAGGTTTTAAGTAGCTAAAGAAATTTGAGCAAGGACCCAGTCAAAACTGAACAAGAATAGAGGTAGAATAGTTCTACTGGTGGGTTCTGAATTTGAGAATTAGAGGGAGGTCAAGAGGAAGTCTCTTTCTTGCAGTAGTGAAGGAGATTCTCTGTCTGTCTCTCTTTCTCTGCCATTCTCCATTTATTGTCTTTGTTTCTATCTCTGTCTCTCTCTATCTCTTTGTCTCTCTGTCCTCTTCTCTTTTCCTCACCAAGCCATCAGAGATACTGTGCTGGTTCATCCTGCAGGGATAAGAGATCAGGCAAAGAAAAGACAGCATATCTAGCCAGAAGCAATAGTTACCCATGTAAAGGAAGATTCAGGACAGCAAGCCCCTTTGTATTGGAGAGAAGTACCAGTTATGGGAATCTACAAAGACACCAATCCTTAGGACCAGGCAGACTACCATACTTAAAGGGAACTTCATGACGACTCTACAGTGATAGAAAAGGACTTCAGTAATTAGAAGTTGTAAGTTACCCCTTTGCCACATTCATTCTTTACACTTGTGCCTCACTACTTTTGAACTTTAAGTTTGTGTCCGTTTTCTCCATAGATCTTTTGTAAGTTTGTGGCAGAGTGTACCACAAACTATTTGGGGAAATGTTTGCATAACTACTGTTCGTGCAATACTATTTTAGTAAATACTTTTGCTAAGAAGCAAATTGTCTGGCTCATTGTTAGTGGATAGCACATCAATGGGGGCTCATGAGTGAGGGTATTAGGGACCTAACTCCTTAAGATTACTCCTAGAACCCCAAGAGAGTACTAGTAGCTGCCTCTGGGGATCTGGCCCTTCAATGAGAGTAGAAGTTAGAAGAGCGAATGAGTATTATGCATATGAAGAATTTGAGGCAGTATTATGTTTTCTGTGTTTTCTTGCCATAACTTTTTTTGAGAAGATTTCTCACTTTTTCTGAGGACCAACGGGCCCAGAAATTCTGATTTTTTTTTTCTGCTCAACCAGAAGCTTCAATGCATCCCAGAAAGAATAGTTCAGTGGGACTCTGGGATAGAAATTGTTGTTGTTTTGTATTGTTTTACTGGAGGTGCTATTATTGTGAACTGGTGTCCCCTTCAGTTCCAAATATTCTATTTTAATGCATGAACATACATACATATACATACATATGTATGTATATGTGTATGCGTGTTTGTGTGTGGCATGTGTGTGTGTGTGTACGTACATATATATATATATATATATATTTCATCTTGATCTTATTGGAATAGTTTCTGGAGTTTTGCTATTGCAACAATTCTAGCTCTTATTTTTATACAGTTTTTTGTCATATTAAAAAAGATCTTTTTATTCTTATCTACTTTTTAAACATAAATAAGTGCTGTCTTTTATTGGAATTTTTCATTTATTCACATAATCATATGCTTTCAGTTGTTTTTGTTATTGATGTGATTTATTCTGATAATTGCTGTCCTTATGTAGAACCATTTTTACATTCCTAGAATGAATCCAATTTAGTTAAAATAAATAATTTTTGGAAAACATTTCCATGGTCTTTTTTTGCCAGTATTTTATTTAATATTATTTCTTCAATATTCATTAGTGATATTGATCTATGGTTCTTTTATATTTTATCTTTTCGTGGGTTGGATATAACATGGAAAATATTCGGTAAAATGCCTTTTCTCTCTATTTAAAACACACACACACACACACACAACAGAAATATGGGGATTATTTGTTCTTTAAATGTATGATTGAATTAATTTTAAATCTTTCTGATAAAGGACTCATCCCATAACCCGTGACCAATGAAAAGTCATTTATGACATGATGGAAGTTTTTTTTTTTAACATGAGATTAAGTAATGTAGGGTATCCATTTCCTATTTTATTACTTTAGTATTGTCTACAGTGTAGCCATTAATATGTTTCTTTTACAATTTCAGTAACTACATACATTCTCCACTAAAATGTGAACTCCTTGAGACTAATGTATGTATTGCTTTTTTACCTGCATCCCCAGAGTTTAGTATTCCATAATGGTTCTTGGTCCTCTTCTTTACATCTTTTCTATTAGTTGTGATTTTCTCCTTCCCATTTTTGTTTTGTTGGTTCCCTCTGTCTCTCTTTTCCTCCCTCCTCACTCTCTCGTTCCCTTTTCTTATCTCTCTCTCTTATATAAAAATTTTATGGCCTTACAAAATTGCTTTTTATTAGTTTGAATGAATTTTTGACAAGTCTATTTCCTTCTTAAAATTTCAAAATGTCCGTCTTTATGCTTGTTTGGGGATATTAATTTTTAGATTTACAATTTTTAAAGTCCCTTTGGTTAGCTCATCCTGCTTTTTTTAAAAAAAATCATATTAATATAAATGTTCAGGGATGTAAATTTGCCTCAGGATTGCTTTAGCAGCATCCCATAAATGTTGGCATAGCTATTGTTATGCTCTTTAATTTAATTTTTGTTGTTTCTATAACTTGGTCTTTGACCCACTTATGTTTTAGCATGGGTTTTTTTCCCTTACTCTCCATTTTCTTACTCTTCCAAACCCATGTTTGGGTTCCTATTCCTCTTATTGATTATTATGTTTATTGCATTATAATCTGTAAAATATGTGTTCAAGATCTTTTGTTATTTATGATTGCTTTATGCTCTAAAACATTCTTAATTTTTATTAAAAATGCAAATGCCCTGAAAAATAGGTATAAAAATATTCCTATTCAATTTTATCTTTGCCTATCAAATCTAGCTTTCAATATTCTGTTCAAATCTGTTACTTCCTTCTTATTTATTTTTGTCCAATTTGTCAAGTTCTGAAAAAAG